ATGGAATCTGAATTTATTCCCTGTAGTTCGGGTTATAAAGTACATTTTATAACACAGGACATGAAAGTACATATGTCACTGAAAATACATTTTCTCCATGCTCATTTGGACTATTTTCCACCAAATTTGGGCGATTTTAGTGACGAACATGGCGAACGTTTTCACCAAGACATTTTAACAATTGAAAAACGCTTCAAGGGAAAAGACGTCAGGCATTTGCTGGGTGAATATTGCTGGTCAATTGTTCGAGATTCTGAAGCAATATACAGCCTGTTCAGAATAAAACCGAATATATCGCCTCCCTCCAAGGCGCGTCACAGTTGCTTGTGTGATAAACGACATGACGAAAGGTCGAGCAGGTAAGGACTTAAAAAATTAAATGATAATAATGCAAAAAATCTCATTAGCGATGCAGTCTATTTGCTTAGCTACTGTGTCGCGCGTTGGAGGGAGGCGAGGCCACGCCCCATATATATATAGATATATTCGGTTTTAGTCTGAACGAGCTGTATAATCGTCAAACTAAACGACCAAGATTTTATTCCAACATGTATTGAATATAAGATAAATACAAAAATGTGTTTCATTAAAAAAAAATAAAAAAAATTATTTAAAAAAAATCAAAATATAAACTTTTTTTATATTTGTTTTTTGTATTGTGTAAAAACATACAATATTTACAAAAAAATATATTTTTAACCGAGTAAAAAATGTACAATCTGTATAAGCATAAATAATAGGAATGACGGCTTAAAATTTTTTTATGACGTGATCTCGTGAAACTGTGAGACACGGGTACGTTTTTTTTACCTCTATTTTCAAAATCTGCTAAAATTTTTCATGGGAGGGAAATTGTGTTGTACTGTGTAATATACAGGTTTAAACAAAAAGATGTTTTTACCATAAGTTTAAGACACTCTGTAGAGTGGCAAAACCGTATACTGTTCTAAATTAAGTTTTAATTATTATTTTTAACAGTTTTGTTTTTGGTTCACCTCGATATATTTATTTTTGTGGAAAATATGGTTTTTTTTAAAACATTGCAATTTCCAATATTTTTCCTGTATGAAGAACTAAGGTTGCTATGGTCCATCCATAGCCTATGGAGGATGACAGTGACAGTTTTGTTGAATCATCCCATACTTGGACATGTCATACACGGCTTTCAAAAGCTATCAAATTGTTTTTTGTAAATTAATGTGTTAGTTTTGAGGTGTCTTCTAACTTTTAAAAATGTCTCCGACTGATGTTCCCCTTTGTACTTTACTTCTTGTGACGTTTAAAACACTTGCCACGTAATACTGTGACCGTCCATCCTGGATTAAATTAATGGCTCTGGCAACATCAGTCGGAGACATATCCATTTTTTAAAGTAAGAAGACACCTCAAAATTTAAACATTAATTTGCAAAAAACAATTTGATAGCTTTTAAAAGCCGTGTATAACATGTCCAAGTATGGGATGATTCAACAAAACTGTCACTGTCATTCTCCATAGCATATGGATGGACCATAGCCACCTTAGTTCTTCATACAGAAAAAATATTGGAAATTGCAATGTTTTTAAAAAAAATGCATATTTTCCGCAAAAATAAATATATCAAGGTGAACCAAAAACAAAACTGTTAAAATAGATGTGACTTGATAATTAAAACTTAATTTAGAACAATATACGGTTTAGCCACTCTACAGAGTGTCTTAAACTTATGGTAAAAAACATCTTTTTGTTTAAACCTGTATATTATAAACGTAAGTGTATTTTTTAGTAATTTTTAAAATGTGAGCGATTCTCGATTAATGTATCTACAATATTCTTTTATATTTGTTTTAATACGAAATCAAATAAAAAAGTTATTTGCGATTGAAATTCATCGAAAATTTTTGTGCATCGATTATTTTGCCTGTAAGTGTATATCTGAAATCAAATAGTTTAATTGCGACGTAATTTATAACCTTAAAATATTCGTGCATTGTGATGCTAAGAAGCTAACATTAAGAATAAACACGAAAGAGTTTCTATACTCGATAAAATCTTCAAATGTCGCACCCGTTACATTTTGAGAAAATTTTAGAAAATAAAGTATAAAATATTTGTGCATTTAAAATACGTGCTTGTTTAAGGTTACTATTCAAGTTTTACACAAAAAATTATTACTATATGCTTTCATCCAAAATTTTACAGTATCCACTTTAGAAGCCAACTTGGTTGCATTAGCCGATTTTCTAAGGTCGTGCCCGTTACGCTATTCATGACGCTATAAAAGGTTTTCTATACAAGTTTTTATTGACATTTTGTTTGAGTTAAATACATAATTTTTTATATAAACGTATCTTGATATATATGGACAAACACTTTATTCTCATGAAAAAACGCAAACAATGAAAATTTTTTTTAACCCGTTCTTAATTCGGTTGGTGACAGTTCTTGTGTTGATTTTGATTGTACAACAAAAGTGCTAATGTTTGTTAACGCCGTGTTCAATTTTAACAGTTCGAAATGAAACATTTTATGAAAGTATACACAACAATTTGTTAAAATTACATTTTCGAAAAAAAATAATTTTCTTTGTTAAAAGTTATATTAACATAGGGTAAAGTAGACAGTTATCGGACACTTTATAGTTATTGGACAATTAACATTAATATTGTGAAAACAAGAGTTCTATAAATAGTTACCTTAAAGTCAAATCATTAGATGACGCTGCATACAATTATAACTATCTTAGTCGGTAATAATATAAAACAACTTTATTTTGGGTCCAATAAAGGACAAAAAAGTTCGCACGTTACTTTGGTGGTAAGATTTTTGTTTTTTTTGTTAAATTAAAATAAAAAATATTTCTAAAAAGTGTACAGATCAGTGTGTGGTATAAATGTGTTCCTCATGGTTTAAACATTGTCACTTTAATGCGTTTTAATTTTAATTCTGAAAACAAACAGTAAAATGGCCAGTGTCCAATTACTGGTTGGTAAAAAATGTAAACTTCTATTATTGGACATAAGTCCAATATCATACTCTATTTATATCCCGGGCATTTACCAGCCAATTCTTATGTAAAATTGTCCCTGAATACAAAAAGACCGTCAAAAACTATAAAAGTTAAGCAGTTTTTGAGATATAGTCAATTCCATATTATATGTAAAATTGATTATATTTCAAAAACTGTTATATTTTATAACTTTTGACGACATTTTCGGATTTAGGAATTGACTGCTAAATGTCCTGGATACAAATTTCTGTTGACGAGAATTATTAGTGGCTGCTTTTTCGCTATGACATTTTTGACTAATTCGTTTTTAGAGAGTCACCCCTGTAAAATCTTTATTTATTGTGCGATTTTAACCGGATTTGTTTTAAACTGTAGATCTTGATAAACTCTATTTTTAAAGCAATAAAACGCCATATTTTTACAAAATACAAGGCCTACTATGTCAGTTTTTAGGAGTAAATTTTTAAGAATTCATATTAGCGATTTTTTTAAACAAAATCTAAGCAGGGCTTTGGATTCACCACCACTCAAAACGACCCTATACTAAATTTTATTGAAAAATTTTAAGAAAAAAAATGCACAATTTTAACTACAAAAATTTATTTTGTCAAGTTATCCATGAAAAAACATTGAAATAAAATTGAACTAATAGTAACATGGTACTATTACTATAAGTTCAATTTTATTTCAATGTTTTTTTAATGGATAACTTGACAAAATAATTTTTTTTAGTTATTTTCGTTCATTTTTTTCTTAAAATTTTTCAATAAAATTTAGTATAGTGTCGTTTTGAGGGTTGGTGAATCCAGTGCCTTGCTTAGATTTTTTTTTAAAATATCGCTAATATGAATTCTTAAAAATTTACTCTTAAAAACTGACATAGTAGGCCTTGTATTTTGTACTAATATGGCGTCTTTTGCTTTAAAATACAGTTTATCAAAATCTACACTTTAAAACAAATCCGATTAAAATCGCACAATAAATAAAGATTTTACAGGGGTGAGTCGCAAACATATGGGCCACACTGTATATAAATCATCCTGTTCCGGCCTAAACATTATATATTATATATAATATCGCTTCACAAACTAGAGATATCACACTTGATGATATTTGCAACAAACTATTTCAGAAGTCAGACCAAGGAATTAGTAGATACCTTCAGGATCCAGAAAATGGATGAGGAATCCGAGAAAGAAATATATGAATTATTTGATATTTACAAAAACGAAATAAAAAAAATTACCTAAAACAGCAATTTATCTTTAAAAAATATTTAAAAATTTATGTTATTTGATGTAAAATTGTTATGTTTATATAAAAATTGTATGTCAAATAACCATGGTCCATGTGTCCAATTATTATTATGCATGTTTTTATAAATGTTTTATTAAAAATTCAAATATTCTTATTTTTAAATAACCGTAAATAAAATTTAAACAAACAAACTATCCTTTTTATATATTTATAAGAAAAAAACTAAAAACAACGGCAAATATAAATTTTAAATAAATAATAATCCTTAAGTGTCCAATAACTATGTGGTTTACCCTATTTAAAAGAAAAATGATCCGCCATTTTAAATTTTATCAGACTCCAAAAACCCAATAATAAACATTTTCTGGGCAATAAACTAATTTTTTAGTCCGCCATTTTGGTCCGCCAATTGATGATAATGATGATAATTTTAATATTAAATTTATGATCAGCGACCCCAAAAACCCAATAATAAAGATTTTCATTTATTATTCATTATTTTTTTAGAAGTCCACCATTTTTGGTCCGCCATTTTAAATTTGATAATTTTAATTTCAAATTCGTGATCAGCGACCCCATTTGGACCAGTGTGCGCTTTTGCTATTTCACTATACCGGCGCATTCGCCATTTTTTAAAGTAATGCTACCAATTTTAAATTTTGCAGGATATCCAAGTATTACGATTTTTTTTTATATTAATATAACCTTGTTTATTACGTGACAAAGAATGTTGTTTAAAAAGGGATTTTTCCAGGTCGGCCGCGACCGAAAGTGACATGGTTCCTCGAGAACACCGTAATAGATGACTCGTACGAAATTCGATCCGACGGCATTGCCGTCAATCATCTCACATTCCCGAAGGTCGGAAGACAACATCTACATTCAAGACTGATATGCCAAGCCAGTAACAATAACCTCGTGCCCCCTGAGACAAGAGTGGCTGTGTTAGATATTAACTGTAAGTATCAAAAGCATTTCGCATGTCAATTTATAATGAAAACTCAAAATATCTTAAAATTAAATAGTTGTTTAAATTTGTATTACTAGTCAAACATTTTACGCTTTACTTGCAATAATTTTTTCTTAATGCTTAATGCTTAATAACGTGTGCATTAGGGTGGTTCATTTAAAACGAACAATTTTTTTTTCTTGCCGACACATAAAAATTTTGTTTTTTAGGATGAAAAAAAAATTCCCTGAAAATATGAGCCCTTAATTTTGATTCTAAGTACTTTCTTTTTAATTTTGTAGTTTTTCCATATAAAATGCATGTATTTTTAATCATTTTTACTTTAAATTTCTATATTTTGGCCAGGTTTTGAATTATAATTTTTATCACCATAATTTTCTGCATAGTATTCACGGTTTTTGGAAGGCCCTGCATCAATTTTGTCAAAAATTAAATTTAAACTTTTTCGTTTGAACTTTTTTGGTAAAACCAGTAATTCGCTCGATTTTCTCAAAAATATGTGAGAAAAAGTGAAAAAACGACTTTTGGAGCTACTACAATCAACGTAAATAAATCAAAAACAAAATTGATGCAGGGCCTTTCAAAAACCGTGAATACTATGCAGGAAATTATGGTGATAAAAATTATAATTCAAAACCCGGCCAAAATATAGAAATTTAAAGGAAAAATGAATGAAAAAATACAAAATTAAAAAGGAAGTACTTAAAATCAAATTTAAGGGCTAAATTTTTCAGGGAATTTTTTTACAACCTAAAAAACAAAATTTTCATGTGTCAGCAAGAAAAAAGAATTTTTCGTTTTAAATGAAACACCCTAGTGTGCATCTAAAGTTTTGGGAAAAATTAAACGCCGAAAAAACAACATTGAAAAATATATTTAGGTGAACAACTTGTAACATTGAAATAATCTTACACTAGAAAAAAATAACCTCATTTAACGAACTACCAAAGGTCCATTGTCTTCAATTTGGCGAAGCTTTGTTTAAACTTGTCGCATTAGTCTCTGGATGGATGTTATATCTAGACTCAGAAAAATGTACATGCACTGATAATGAAACTAATTTTGTAAGCGATTAAACTTTTTTTACTGTTAATAAAATTCTCATTTACTATAATGAAGCAGCAATGTTGAGCTTTTATAAAAATAATGTTCATTGAACAAAGTAATAGTTATCATATTGTCATGGCAATAAGAAATTAGAAACAACACCGGGGGAACAATTTTACAGTAGATTACGTAATAGTAATAATAATAATAATCTTTATTAGTGTTTTAAAAGGAAGTATAATTTTACACACGTCATACAAGAGAGAATACATTACATTTAAAATAGATTTAGAAAGTGTGTACAATACAAAAAAGTGTATATTAAAAATAAAAAACATTTATATGGATACAAAATTTGGATACAAAATTTACAATAACTAGAAAAAAAGAAAAAAACAACTATATTGATTTAATTTAGGAGGTAGCATTATATTACAGCATTTAAATACTCTTCAAAAGAGTAATAGGCTTTTTTCAGTAAGAAGTCTCTTTATGCAACATTTAAAAGCATTTCCGTTCATTTGCCTGATGTGTTCAGGAAGCTTATTATAAAAGGCCTGTGAGTAGTATGATGTTGAGGTTTTGGATTTTGCTAGCCTAAGTGAATTTATTCGTAGGTCGGTTTTTCCCCTTGTGTTATGGTTATGGATGTTCATCCCAGAATTATATAAAGGTAGATTGTTTTTTGCAAACAAGATACATTCGTAGGTACTGTCATTATATTTAGGATACTAAATTGGTGCTTTACATCATCCCTAAATTTAAGCTTTGAAATAATTCGCCCTTTTTTGTAATTAGAGAATATACGTTTTGCATGCGCCGACTGACCCCATACAAATATACCGTATACACAGACACTTTGAAAAAGTGCATGATAGGCCGTAATTAAAACGTTTTTATCTACTGCAATTACCAATTTTTTCAACACAAAAATTGCCCTACTCAATTTATCTGAAATTACATTCACATGCTTTTCAAACTTTAATGTTGGATCTAGATGTATTCCTAAGAAATTGACATTTCTGGGATAATCCTCATTATCATATTTTCTTAAGGAGAATATCATATTTATTGTTTCGGTTTTATTGAGACTTAAGCGCATTGAGGAAAACCACTCTTCAATACTGGAGATAGAGGCACTCATGCAGGCCTCAAGCTGACTTTGGTCATTATGTAGATTAATAAGAGTTGTGTCATCTGAATATAAAACTAGCTTACCAGTTGGCAAAGCTGTCTTTATGTCATTTATGTAGATAATAAATAGTGGAGTCCCCAAGATAGATCCCTGAGGAACTCCATAACGATTTGCCTTCACTTCAGAAAACTCTCCACCATAGAAAGTTACCTGCCTCCTATTGGTGAGGTAGCTGGACATCAATTTCAGACCCACATCACTCACCCCATAATATTTTAGTTTTCCAATTAAAATTTCATGCGAGGCACAGTTGAAGGCCTTGGAGAGATCACAGAATGTAGAGCCTACATGCATGCCCTCCTCAAAACCCTCCACCACTGCCTCACAGAGTTCTGTAACTGCTAGAACAGTAGATTTATTTGTTCGAAATCCAAATTGATGAGTGTTAAATAACTGGTTATATTCAAAATATTCATATAGTTGAGATTTAAGCAATGATTCAGATAATATTGGGATGAGTGCTATGGGTCTGTAATTGCCTATCTCCTTAGTGCAACCTTTTTTATAAACTGGTATCACTTTGGAAATTTTAAAACAGTCAGGATATACTCCCTCTTTTATACATTGGTTAAAAAGTTTTGTTAGTGGAGTTATGATAACATCTATAACCGATTTTATTAATTTTATATCAAGTTCGTATATCCTGACTGCTTTTGTTTTTCAAGTTGTTTACCGCATCTCTAACCTCTATTATGGAGAATTCTCTAAAGTGAAAACTCAGTAGAGGAGGGACCCTTATGTTTTTAAGAAAATCCTCAAAATGAACTCTTGGAGCCTCTAGTTCATCTATTATATTTGTGGGAACCTCTACAAAGAAATTATTAAAACTATCTGCATGAATACCTGTATCTCCAGTAGTGAATACACCCTTTCTGTTTGAGTAAACAATATTCCATGCCGCTTTTATTTTGTTGCTTGAGTAATAGCTTTTTTGTATTTGATTTTATATTTTTTGAGTTGATTAGACAAATTTTGTGTTTTAAAATTGGAGTACAGCTCATTTAGTAGTTTTAGTTGTTCCCGCATATTTTGAATATCCTTACTAAACCATGAAATTTTGTTTTTGCTTCCTGAAACATAAAACTGTATTTAAAAAATAGTTAAACTTATCATCTATACCCATTTTAGAGTTTAAAAAAGCCCATCCCTCATTTTGCAGCATTTGATAAATATTAAAGATATTAAGATAATATTAAGATTGATTTATTTTTGAATTTTTAATTAATTTTAAAATAAAAAGGTTAATTTTCTGTTATTACATTTAACCCTGTATTGAAAACTAAGTACAACCCCTACTTATGGGGTATTGTCGTATGCATTTTATTACGCAAAAAGAAATCTTAAAGCAACATCGCCCCATTATACCAAATTAAAATACAATTATTTTTGGTTGTACGAGGTGTGTTCAGAAAATAACGGTAATTGTTAAATTTCGCGGGTTCGGAGGGTCCGGTTGTCATAAAATTTTCTTTATTATGTTGGTATACATGCCCCCGAAGTATGATAAAAACTTTAGCTGTTTTCATTGTTTATTTTGTCTGTGGCAGCCGCTAAGGTTAGACGTGTTTTATGAACTCGGCGATTTTTCGTTCGTTAAAAGAAATGGATCAAAGAATTTGTATTCAATTTTGCTTAAAAAATTAAATAAATTCTGTGAAATGTTAACAAAGGCCTATAGTGAGTCTGCTATAAGTAAAACAAGAGTTTACAAGTGGTATAAGAGTGTCCAAGATGGCCGTGAAGACGTTGAAGATGACGAACGCCCCGAACGCACAAGCACATTAACAACCGATAAAAACATGGAAAAAGTGGAAGAAATGGTTATAAAACATCAGAGAAGTCGCTGATGATGTTGGTATATCGATTGGCTCATCCCATGAAATTTTTTTTGGAACATTTTTGGCCAAAAACAAGACTGTAATGATGCCCCAGCCTCCATATTCGCCAGACATGCCTCTGTCTGACTTTTTCCTATTCCCAAAAATAAAGAGAACCTTAAAGGGCCGTCGTTTTGCAAGCATATATGACATTAAAAGCGCATCGCTGAAAGAACTAAAGGCTATCCCAAAGATCGAGTTTAGAAGTGTTTCGAGTATTGGAAGAAGAGCTGGCACATGTGCTTAATATCCATTGGGGACTTTTTGAAGGCGACAACATTATTGTAGACGAATAAATAAATATTTGTTTCAAAAAACGAACACACCTCGTATAAAAGTAAATTTAAAAAAAAACATCGATTTTCCGCTTAAAAAAGGTTATTTGTTTGGCAGCAATTAAACCTGAAACGCATTGAAAAATCCGCAATTTAATTTAAAGGCTGAGGGTACGTCGCCTCGTGGGTCGAAATACAAAAGCGATTTATAAATCAGGACAAACACTTCCTGTCCCAGCAAAAATCCAATTTATACAATTTTTATTCGGCATTTCATCCTTTTTACCCTGATTGACATTTTTTTCTCTATTCTCTCCGTCTGTGTGAACAGTGCAAAGGGTCAATCGAGTTAAACAACCCTCATCAGTTTTAAACAGTGTGTGTGTGATACAAAGCAAGCCCTACAACCATAGTTGCGTTTAATTATTGAATTGACCGTAAGGGAACATCTACTGTGTTCGCAGGATCAAAGGAAAATGCCTCTAAAACACTAATAATTCACAAGCATCGCGATTAATGTATAATGCATCCCTTCTTGCGAGTAGTTAGATGCCAACACACCAAGTTCTATTACCTTCACACATTGTCTACGAA